CTCAAAAAATAGTTGCCTGTTTTACTTAGGAGCTGATAAGGAACTCTGCCTTACTCCTTTCTCTCCATGGATAGTAAGACTCTAGTTTTAATTTGTAATTGAAATAGAAATATAACTGCTGGATGATTATCCTATTTTTTGTCTCCTTAAAAGCATCTCAATTTGTAATGTGGAGATGAGAACTCTCAATTTCTCTAATTTGTTTCCAGGGATAAGAAATGATGCCAACCAAGTATGTGATTCAGGCTCGTGTTTATATTCATCAAGCTTTTGCTTGTGGCATCCCATGTAACTCAGTGACTTGGGGGAGAGAGACATTTCACATAAACTGGAAGGAGAATGAACTTTGACTGTAGGCTGAATGGAAGTAGCTTCAAGGTTTGAATTTAAAACTGTAGTAGTTAGTGTTTTGGTATGAATATTTGAAAATCTGTCCTTAGCGGTTTTGTCCACATGAGACATTTCTACAGTGGTCTGTAGATAAGGTTGCCCATTGGATCATGGCTTAAATTTTTACTTTATTGTTACAGTATGCGAACAAGAAAGTGTATTGTATATTTGTAGCTTGTTGAGTTTTCCAGAACTTAATACATGTATTTAGCCAGCATCCATATCATGAAGCAGAATATTACTAGCACCCTGAAACCTCACTTTTGCAACCTTCTGGTAGTAACTCTTACAAGGATCACTACTCTCTTGACTTTTAATAGAAACATAGATTGTTTTTGTCAAGATTTATGCTTTCTGTAACTGGAAATACACAGCGTGTAGTTATGGGTCGAACTTCATTTATAAACGGTGTGGTGGAGAGTCATCTGTATTGTTATTGTTGTATGTGGTTCTAGAGGCTCATTCTCATAATTCCAGTGTGTGAATATATTATAATTTATTTAAATATTCTACCGTTCTTTAATGGATCTTTGAAGTAGTTTCCAGTTTGGGCTTTTATGAACTGTGCCACCATGAACATTCTAGTACATGTCTTTGTGAACCTAGATACTTCTTGGTGAACATAGGCATGCTTTTCTGTTGAGTATATATTGAAAAGTAGAATTGATGGTTGCTAATAACTTTTTTTAACCCTAATTTGATTTTGAGCACCTTTCATTTAAAAGAAAGAAAGAAAGAAAGAAAGAATGGAAAGTTTCTTTTAGTACTTATCTAGTTTGTTTTAAAAAAAGAATGCCAGTTTGCTAACATCGGTATTTGGCACACAGGTTCTCGTCATCTTTCTTGTCTTGCTTGGTGACCTATGTAGACTTTTCTTAATCTCAAACTGAATGATCCTTTTTAAAGTTCAGAAAAATATTTGCTTTTCATACTTAAAAAACCCCACTCTGGGCTCTGGATGGCATTTGTAATTATCTTAGCAGATTATTTGGGAGATTTTAATACAGGCATGGCTCAAATTATAATTTTAAAGTAATACAAAAACAATATTAAGTCTAAGTCTTTTAGATCAATGAAAGCCAAGTATAACTCAAGGGTAAGCTTAATGAACAGGGAAGAGAAATGAGGTATTTTGACAGACACTGATTTCTAAAGAACAGGTGCACACTGGCTAAAAATAGTGTTGTGATATCAGCCTTAGAGAAAATGTAGTCAGAAAAAAACCTTGAGATTTCTTTTCTTAAAATTGGGCCTTGAGTAACTTACAGGGATATGGGGGTAGCTTAAATGTGATTTGTAAAACCCAGGTCGGTGGGTGTCTCCTAAAACATTGTGATAGTAACACCCGCATACTTTTTTTTTTTTCTTGTAAACAAAGCACCATTTTAATCTGCTTTCTTAATTCCAGGCTTTTACAAACCCTGTAAGATAGGAAGGCAGAAGTCATAGGACAAATGTCACTGAGTAGATGATGAAAGCCAGTTCGCAGATCCAGTCTCTCACAGCCTCATAGGCCAGAACTTGCTTCTGGTCTTTACTCTTAGTGTTTTTCATAAACAGGGAGAATGAATTTATAGGTTTACTCTTAGTTCATTCCAGGGTTATCCCAGTATAATGGTACTGAACATTTTTACTAATTATAATTATACCTCATTATACTGTGTTATTTGTGAGAAATGTTGCAAAAAATAGGGGTTTAGTATCACAGATTTTGGAGTCAGACTGGGACAGAATACTAGTTCTACCCAAAAACATTAAAGTAGGGCAAGTAGTAATATATGCTTCTCCTTTTACAGATGGAAATTGAGTCTGAAAAATGGTAGCTTGTCAGCAAAAAACTTAAATTCCGGTCTTATTTGCAGTGCTCTTTTCATTAGACTATACTGTTTATATGATAAAGTCATGACCAAGTCTAAGTGAATTTTAACCTATTTTGTTTTACTGGTTCAATATGGGAAAGTTTTTGGAAAGTCCCTTTTGGGTATGTGCAGTGCGTTTTCCCCCATGGGAAATTTAGCTCTGAGGATTACCTTCCTACACTTGGAAAATGTAACTTCCCAGCTCTGTGTCTGGCCATGCCCTGTGACTGATAGCCTCCTTTCTAGACACACCTGAATTGTTAGTGGTGTCTTTCATTCATTGTGGTTTTGCAATTTTTTGGGATTTTATACCAAGACCAAATTTCCCCTCCCTCGTGTCAGGTCTTGCTTCTTTTGACATGGTAGAGTGAAAGCCAATATCATGCTGACATTAAAAAATCTAGGAAGGCCGTCTATTTCACCGTTATTTAATATTGTCCTGGAGTTACTAGCCAGTGAATTTAACAGGAATGAAAAAAGAAACAAAATTTTATGTATGGATAGGGTTGTATCCTTGGAAAACCTGGCTTAAGTGGTTGAGTATAAAAGGAGATGGAGATAGCTCTATAGAAAACTAAAAATTGTGAAAGAATTCTTGGCTGGGAATTTAAAATTTTTTTTTCAGTTGTTGATAGACCTTTAATTAATTAGTTAATTAATTTATATTCGGTGCTGAGAATCAAGCCCAGTGCCTCCTCACACATGCCAGGCAAGTGTGCTACTGTTGAGCCCCAGCCTCAGCCCCATTTATTTGTTTTTGGTTGATATTTTCTACATATATATAAAGGTGAAATTGCTGTTGGTACATTTATATCTGCAGATAACATGATTTTGTTTAATTCATTCTATATTTCTTTCCCTTTCTCATACTTCCTCCTTTTACTCCGCTGATCTTTCCTAAATATTTATGTTATCCGCACGCCTGTAATCCTAGTGGTTCAGGAGGCTGAGGTAGAAAGCTTACAGAGTTCAAAGCCATCCTCAGCAATAGCAAGGTGCTGAGTAACTTCCTGAGACCCTGTCTCTAAATAAAATTACAAAAAAGGCTGGGGATGTGGCTCCCTGTAAATGGCCCCAGAGCTCCAGTCTCCAGGGGCATACCCCCAGGGATCCATTTCCTTCAGCCTCACCCTACGGCCTATAGTTATCACCCAGTTAAACCTATCAGGGAATTAATGCACTGGTTAGATTTAAACTTTCTTGCATTGTCTCTCACACATGAGCTTTTGGGGGATACCTTAAGTCTAAACTATAATGCAGGGTCTCATTAAGTTGCCAAGGCTGGTCTCGATTTGTAATCCTCCCACTTTAGCCTCCTGAGTTCCTAGGGTTGCAAACATGCACTACCATGCCCAGTCTAAAATTTTTAAGTCATGAAAGGTGCTTAATTTTTCTCATAAAGCAAAAATTAATTTTCAGATTTGTGAATATAAATTACTAAATGGTGAGTATGTGGGAGAAGACAGGCACTCATCTGCATTTTAGAAGGAAGTATAAATTGATCAAACACTTCTGTAGGCATTTGGCAATATCTACCAAAATAAATGCATATGTCTGTTGATCTAGCAGATTGATTCACAGGAATTTATCCTGTATGTATGTGTATAAAAAGGATAGACAAGAATATTCATCGTGGCAATTTAACAGTTTAAATGAAGTTTGGATGTACACATAAGAGAAATACTGTGAAGCCAATAGAAATATTTTTTCAAGGGAATAAAACAAGGTTTAAAACAGTGCAGTATCAAGTAGGATGAAGGATGAATAATAGTAACACAAAAGACTGATCAGTTGTTTGAAAAAATGGCAGACCGTATGTATGGGACACCCAGACATAACATAGACTCTTGTATTTTTTGTTTTGGGGAGTATTGTTTTTGTCACATTGCATGTTTAGCACGTCAGTTTGAAATTAAGAAATTCCTGGGGATGTGGCTCAAGCGGTAGCGCGCCCGCCTGGCATGCATGCGGCCCGGGTTCTATCCTCAGCACCACACACACAAAGATGTTGTGTCCGCTGAAAACTAAAAAATAAATATTAAATTCTCTCTCTCTCTCTCTCTCTCTCTCAAAAAAAAAAAAAAAAAGAAAGAAAGAAAGAAAGAAATTCCTGTTTTGCGCGTACCTTTTGAATATCATCTTTTTAGGACAGTTTGTCATCCCAGTATATTCTTTTTGTAAATAGAGGTACTGTTAGAAATGAAGTCTTTGTAACCCACTTGGCCTCTGTTGACTGGAGATTGAAAGTAGGGGCGTTCTACCACTACCACTGAACTACATCCCTAGCCCCTTTTATTTTTTATTTCAAGACAGGCTTTCCTCATGTTGTTGAGGCTGGCCTCAAACTTGTGAATTTTCATTTTTTCTGCCTTAGCCTCCTGAATGTTGGGATTATTACAGGTGTGTGCCACCACACCTTGCAGTAATTCATTTTGACCTAGGCTGCCTTATATGCCTGATTTCAGTAAAGACTAACCATATACTTCTATAGTATTTGTGTTTTTTTCCCCCCCAACTTGTTTAGAAATAGTAGGGCTTATTTTATGATGTCATTCAGTTGATTTGCAAACTGATGTATTTGTAATTGATATGAACTTTTCTTCAGTTGTTTTCTTGAATTTTATTGATGGTATCACATTAGTAGTTCTTATTGAGGAAAATGCTTCACAAGGGTTAATTTTATTTAATTAAAATTAAAAAATTAACCCAGCTTAGAGAAACTAACAGCTGTGTTTATTTTGATCTGGACAGATTTGGAGGCCAATCACTGCCACCTTTTATTTTCCTGTGGGTCCAGGAACTGGATTTCTTTATTTGGTCAATTTGTATTTCTTATATCAGTATTCTACACGACTTGAAACAGGTATGTTATCCATAGTTGTTTTATGTATTGTTTCTTTCTTAATTACTAACCTTATATTTACTTGGAAGAATTTTGAGGGTAGTTAGCATTATATAAAGAGATGGTATAGTGATAGTCATGCTCTATTATGTAAAAATTCAAGCATGTACAAAAGTAGAGTCAAAAAATCACTGAACTTTTTCATTGATCAAATTCACATAACATAAAATTCATTTTACTGTTTTAAAGTGTCCAGTTTAGTGATCTTGAATATATTCACAATGTTATTTAACTGTCATCACAGTTTACTTTCAGAATATTTTCATCACCCTCCCTGCTCAAAACCCAAAGCAGTTGTTCTTCATTCCCTGCTTCCTCCCAGTCTCTAACCACTGCTGATCTTTCCGTGTGCGTTTGCCTATTTGGAACATTTCATATAGCCTTTTGTGACTGGCTTCTTTCACTTAGCATGTTTTTTAGGATTCATCCATGTTGTAATGTGTCAGTATGAGTCCATTTGACCATCACTCACCTCTAACAAGTTTCTCATAAGCAAATATTATTTTATCTGTATCAGTGGCTACTCCCCCTTTGGAACAAAACACCAGAAATGAATGATATCATTTGCTTTGTATATATTTCAGTATTTACCTCTGAAATGTAAGGACTTAAAGAATAATCTTCGGGGCTGGGGTTGTAGCTCAGTGGTAGAGTGCTTGCCTAGCACTTGTGAAGCACTGGGTTTAATCCTTAGCACCACACAAAAATAAATAGATAAAATAAAGGTATTGTGTCTAAAAAAAAAAAAAAGAAAGAAAGAAAAAGAATATCCTAATGTTATTTTTATTTTTTTGGTACCAGGGATTGGACCCAGGGGCACTGAGCCACTGAGCCACATCCCCAGCCTTTTTAATTTTTTATTTTGAGGTAAGGTCTCACTAAGTTGACAAGGCTGGCCTTGGGCTTGCCATCTTCTTGCTTCAGCCTCTTGAGATTATAGGTGGGATTATAGGTGCTCCATACCTGGCAAATGCATGCCTTTCAAATACACCTGATTTTTAATATTATTCTACCTGAATAACATTTAAGAAATCTGTGGATTAGTAGGCCTAGTTTCTTAGAAATTGCCCCCTCTTTCCCAGTCATAGAACACTTTGAAATGTTCAGGCTGAGAGTTGTTTTTTTTTTTTAATTAATAGCTTCATTGAGATACACACTTGCTTGTCTCTCTGTTCTACATCTACATTGGAAATTTTTTGAAAATAAATGAGTCTGTATAGAATTTTCTTTGTCATTATTTCCTAAACAATGCAGTATAATAACTATTTGTATAGTGTTTGCATTGTATTGGATACTGCAACTAATGTGGAAGTGACTTAAAGTACATGTATTTAGGCTATATGCAAATAGTATATACCATTTTTTTATATAAGGAATTTGAACATTTGCAGATTTTGGTATCTGAGGGGGGTCTTTGAACCAATCCCCCATGTATACCTAGGGATGACTATAATTCACATATCACACAATTCATTCAGTAAAGTATACAATTCAGTGGATTTTAGTATTGTCATGGTTGTATAAACATTATCATAATCATCTTTTTAGTGGTACTGGGGATTGAACTCTGGGCTTTGTGCATGCTAGGTAAGCACTCAAATCATTGAATTACACTCCCAGCTCTTTTTAAATTTTGAGATGGGATCTTGCTGAGTTGCTCCAGACTCGCCTTAAATTTGCAGTCTTTCTGCCTCAGCCTCCCAGATAGCTTTGAGGTAGGTGCCACTGTGCCCAGCTCATAATCAACTTTACAATAGTCTTACAAATGGGATCATTACGTGGCCTTTTGTGACTGGCTTCTTTCACTTAGTATAATATTTTTAAGTTTCTTCCATGTAATATATATTAGGAGTTCACTCCATTTTGTTTATCTGTTTATCAGTTAATAGACATTTGGCTTAGATTAATTTTTTGGTTATTAAGAATAATGCTGCTATGAACAGTAGTATAGCAATGAATTTTTGAGATCATCTGTTTAACCTTCTTATTTCATGCACAAGAAAACTGCTTGGAGCAGTTGTGACATGACCTAGAAGTCACGGAGTTATTTGTGATAGGATAACTAGGATTGGAACCCAGGTTTACTTACTCCCCATTTTCTCTTTGCCTCATGTTAATATTTTGACAAAATGTTTGCCACTTGCATATTTTTCTGCCTGGCTAAATTGGTTAAGTATATAGCAATGTAGGCTTATTTATGAGGTTTCTGATTTGAACTACAAGCCTGCAATTTGAGACCAGTTATTTGTAAATTCCCACTTGTAAATATGCCAAATAACATAGTACTATAGTTGGTGTGATTATAATATCTTAACTATTCAATCTAAAGAATCCTTAGAAATCACAAGTGAAACTATTATCAAAGAAGCACAGCTATAATTAAAATTCAGAAATTTCAGTAGAATCTCAGCTTTGATTCATCACAGTGGCTCTCTAGCATGAAGCATCATTAACACTGTGGCTGAAGAAACCTATTTTCTTTTAGATATATTCTTCTGCTTTTCTAACACTTTTTAAGTTTTTTTTTTCTTTTTTAATATAACTGGTAAAATGTGGAAAGGAGGAAAGGTAAGTTTTGAGCTAGAGTGACTTAGTTATTGTGTTTCTTTTCTCTGCTTCTGATCAGGAATCATCATTAGAAGAGTTGGGCTGTTAATTATTCTGCCCAGTAATAAAACACGACCTGGTTAATGGTGCAGTGATAAGAACATGAACTAGTAGTTAGACTTCACTCACCTTCCAGCAAGCCCTGTGATTTTGGTCATGTTACTTTATTTCCTCATCTATAAGAAGAGGGTCATAGGTCTTTCCATCACACCTCACAAATGCAGTGTGAAGAGTAAGTCAAACTGTAGAAAGGTTGGCTCTCATTTTGTGTCCCTTTCTCCCTCATGTCATTTTCCCATACTGGAATATAATACTTTCTGTGAAGACAGAGACTGAATTCTCCCAGTACCCAAACTGCTGCTGGACAAGTGGTGATGTGTGTGTCAAATAATAGTGGTCACAATAGTGAGCTGCCAGTGTAGTTGTGCTTAAGTGTTTCTCTCTGTTCTTAACCATGACATTTGGCTTATTTTCATTTCCAGGAGCATTTGATGGGAGGCCGGCAGACTATTTATTCATGCTTCTCTTTAACTGGATTTGCATCGTGGTATCCTTCAGTGTTATTTTGGGCCAGAAATGAACCAGTTTTTTTTTTTTAAGGTTTTGAGAAATAGTATTCTATAAAATTTCAAACTATATAGTTTTTGCATCTTTGTTTACTACAGTTAATAATTAAGAAGAATAATTGAATTTCTTCTAAAAAACTGAGGTAAATCATTTAGTCCTTAAGTGATGCATTTTCTTGACATTGCTATTGTGGGGTTTTTCCACATTTGGTTGAGTTTTATTACTGTTCCTCCTCCTTGTTCTCAGTTCTCTGTGTTCTCATGGGTGACAGCTTGTTGACTGAAGCACAAAGAGATTCCGTGCCATGAGACAGCTTTTGAAATCTGTGGTTCTTATCAGAAGATTAATTTGCAACAGCAGTGTTTTCTGACTCCATTGCTGTCCTTTTGGGGTCCTGAATAATAATTTAGTCCCTCTATAGACTATCCATCTCTGGATACAGTCCGTCTCTGCTTTATATCAACCACAGTTGCAGTACCCTTCTAACTGTGAGGCTTTTACAGATGGTAAAAGTAGCAGAAGGGACTCCATGGCTCAAGTCCTGGGCAGAATTGGTGGCTCACAGTTTCTGTTGGGCTCAGTCTCTGTTTAAACTTGGCCAAGAGCCAGAAAATGTAGGACTTTGGATACCCTTTCCTTTAAGGGAATGAAAAAAAAAAGTTTTGGACTTCATCCATGCTTTAGAGCCATGAGTGTGAGTAGAATCATTATTTATTTCAGATGCACAGGCATCTCTATCCCCTACTTGAAGGAGAGATACTAAAACACAAAGGCAAGGCACAGAAAGGAGACACCAGGTGACTAAGTCATGCTGAGGCTGTTAACTTCTATTTCTCCTTGAAGTATAGTCTTATGGAATATTCATGATGAAGATTTGAACCTTTGTGTTCTTCAATGTTTTTTTTTAACCCATTAAGTCCCAGATTTTCAATTCTATGAATAAAAAAGTATTCAGACATTGTTTAAAAGTTAACATAAGTGGTATATTTGTCACTCAGTTTGTTTTATAGGTGTTCCACATCTGGATTGATGGCACAAAATGGGTTAAATAGTCTAAATAACAGAAAAGTATTTTTCTTCAGAACATAGGAATGAAATGAACTTTTAAATGGGGGATAATAACCCGCTCAGTCTTGATGGGTACAGAAAACTTTTTTATATCTGATCTTTAACTGTATAAACCAAGATTACTGGCTTAGCAATGGATATGCAAGTAAGTGTCCCTTTAACTATCTATTTGTCCTTTTATCTATTTAGACTTACTACTAATAGCCTTTGACAAGTTAGAATTAATATGAACTGTGTGGTTAATTATTATTTTTGAACTTATACAACAATGATAGATGTTGTATTTTGAAGATCTTAAGTCTGCTAAACTTTGAAGCTCCTATATGAGTTACTGAAATTATTGCTTTTTTGCTCATAGTTTCTTTCATATTATGTTTGAACATTGAGAATAATGTTTATGCTGGGGCTGGAGATGTGGCTCAAGCGGTAGCGCGCTTGCCTGGCTTGCGTGCAGCCCGGGTTCGATCCTCAGCACCACATACAAAGATGTTGTGTCCGCCAAAAACTAAAAATAAATAAATAAATAAATATTTAAAAACAAAAACTTAAAAAAAAAAAGAGAATAATGTTTATGCAGTATTTTCTAGGCATGTGTGATGGTTTCTATTTTTTAAAAGTTGAGATTATATGGTAATTAAACTTTTTTTTCAAATAACACCTTGACTCTGATATTTAAATATATAATTGTGTTGTATTTTACTATATGTCTAAAGTATATAATTATGTTGTATTTTACTATAGAGTTTTGTAGCATTTTTTGTATGATAAATAATAGGATCTTTTGGAATTCTGATCAGTTGAATTTTCTTTTGTTTTTTTGAATACCTGTGAAAAGTTTTTTGGAGGGGAGGAGTAAAAGGCATAGTAGATTTGTATTAACCCCCTTTAAGTGCTCTTGGAGCCTGGTTTTTAAATGTTGACTTCTTTTGCAGTTGCTGATGATTCCTCTGATCATGTCAGTACTTTATGTCTGGGCCCAGCTGAACAGAGACATGATTGTATCATTTTGGTTTGGAACACGATTTAAGGTACTTTACCTTAGTTGGAAAAACTTCCTTTTCATTTGTCTTTGCAGAAATCTCTTCAGCCAAGAGATGTACTTTCTGACTCGTCCAGAAGAGGTCACTGCAGAGCAGTATACCATAGGCAAGCCCCTTTCTCCCCTCTGTAGCCCAGCTCTCAGCAGACCCAGAGTCCCTTGTTAACTATTGTTACTTCCCCATCCCCTTTGTACCTCAGGCTGCTCAGGGGTATGTATATCCCTGATTGATCTCGTGTGTGTGTGTGCGTGTGTGTGTGTGTGTGTGTGTGTGTGTGTGTGTGTTTTAGAAGGAAAGCTACCATGTGAAACTTGCCATTTAAGATCTGTTTTTGGCTGGGGATGTGGCTCAAGTGGTAGCGTGCTCGCCTGGCATGCGCGGGGCACTGGGTTCGATCCTCAGCATCACATACAAATAAAATAAAGATGTTGTGTCCACCGAAAAACTAAAATAAATAAATAAATATTAAAAAAATTCTCTCTCTCTCTCAAAGATCTGTTCTTATCACTCTCTCACTCTGTTATGTGCTTAACACTTTAGTGAAAACAGATTTTTTTGTTTGCCTCCAAAACATTTCCCTTTGTACCTGTTCTAACAATGTTTCACCTGTAACATCTTTTTTTAAAATTTTTTAAAAAATATTTATTCTTAAGTTTTAGGTAGACACACATTTTACATTTATGTGGTGCTGAGGCTCGAACCCAGTGCCCCGCACATGCTAGGCAAGCACTCTACCACTGAGCCACAACTCCAGCCCCACCTTTAACATCTTTTTGATACCCTTCCTCTTGTAAATTCTACCCATCCGAGACCGAACGTATTTCTCAAGTCTCCTGCCTGTAATTAATTAGTCTTGGTCTTGGGCCTTTGTAGTGCTTTATGTTCCTGTTATAGTATTTACCTCAAAGTTGCCTTAAAGTTATTAATGTATAAGCCTTCCTTTACTAGTTTGTGGCATTCTTTGCAATGCCCTTAACCTTTGGTGGGAGGTCTTGAAGTTGATAGGGGACTTAGATGTTTAATACATGTGTAGAACTGTCACTTGGGAATATATTAGTTACAGATATCAATGTGTAATGATGTAAAAATTCAAGGTAACTATTTGTAGTAATTCATTGGTTGGAATCTTAGTGTGTTCTGTTATAAATTGTGTTTTTAGTAGCGTGCAAAGATACTTGTCTACTTTCTGAAGCTCTTCCTTAATATTAATTCAGCAGGACAGGAAACTGCATCTGAACTATGGGCAACAAACTCTGATCTTCCAGTTACAAATAAGTCTCATTTTCAACAGGAAGTTTTAAAAGTATAGTAGGAATGATGATAGATTGATCTGAAAAATTTTGCAGTGACCTTCCAAAAGATTTATTAAAGCCCTTATGAATATATTCCTCCCATTTTAGTCCGCATAGCAGCTTGTCCTCCTCAGGTGTGGGTATTTATGTTTACATATATTTTTTTCCTAGGCCTGTTATTTACCCTGGGTTATCCTTGGATTCAACTATATCATTGGAGGCTCGTAAGTGATAATTGGATTTATTTAATTGGAAACTGATCCTTGGGAAACTTCCATTCATCTTTATCTTCTTTTTCAAATTTAATAAAATCCTAAAGAATCTTAATATTGATGTATTATAACCTTAAAGAATAGTTACATTTTGATGTAATTGGTTAAATTGTAGGGTGATTTTATTACGTTGAACATTGGGTGGTTATAATTTTGTTAGCTTATCATTAGACAGTGTCGTCTATATATTGTGTTTGAAAAAATATGCATTTCCTAATTGATTATTCAGACTAAGCCAATGTAGTACTAATTTGTGTCTGAGATGACTCCTGTAAGAGCTCTCCGTAGACTTGCTGTGTCTTAAGGCATTTCTTGAATGCCTTGGAAACTGCTCACTGTCACAGAAGTGCGATGAGAAGTAGTTTTGTAAGTGGTTTGATGGTATAGAAATTTAGGCTAAGCAAGGTCAAATATCAAGGTGCAGCTATTTTAAAATCTTCCATTTCTATTTTTTTTTTTGGTATTGGGGATTGAACCCTGGGGTGCTTTACCATTGAACTATATACCCAGCCTTTTTTACATTTTTTATTTTGAGACAGGGTCTCACTAAGTTCCTTAAGGGCCTTGCTGAGTTGCTGAGGCTGCCTGGAACTTGCAGGCATTCTCAACCACCTGAGTTGCTGGGATTACAGGTGTACAACACTGTCCCACGCAAGATCTCCCATTTCTAACACTAAAAATATTTTCTGAGAGTTTAATAGAATTTAATGGTATGAGTTCTTCATGTATCTGACACATTTGTTCTGTGTGATACTGACTTCTGCATGTAAATTGGGAGAAGTGAATGAATTGAGCAACAGATTGTTTAGAGCATAACATGTTCTGAACATGATAAAGCTACTGTCCCCCACCTGGAAGGTGATATTGATTGCAGAATCATGTTGCGGGTGAAGACAAAGATATGTAATAGTAACAGTGGACCCGTAAAACCTTGGGGTGACCTCTGCGTAAACCCTGGGAAACCTGGAGTAGATTATTTTAGGATGAAGGGTGTAGGTCAGCTTTCCTAAGGAGTCTGTGTGGTATCTTACACTCAAGGATGCAAAGCAAGAGAGAAGCATAAGGACTCCAGGATGGGGGAGCTGGTGCTTATCAGCCATCTTTTCCTCACTCCCATTCTTCTCTTTTGGTAGACTGTATAGTTGCTTGTGTTTTGCAGATATAGTATTCATGAAAGTGCTTAGAAGCTTGCTTTGCAGCTTTCCCAACTCCTGAAGCAGGAAGTAGCAAAAAAAGTATTTTGAGAAGAGGCTGAGGCTTGAAAGAGATGTCAGAGGGGCTGCTGGCCTAGAAGAGTAGCAGGCCACATTGGTTCAGCAGCCTGATTTTCCCTCTCCCTCAGAATGCATTTGTCACTCAAGACTATAAAAGGGCCTACTGTAGAGCTATCACAGACTCCTGGGGACTGTAAATGGGCTGAGTGAAGGTGCTCTTCCTCTTGCTATTACTTAAAACTTGGTGCATTTCCCCTTATTGCTCGAATGTCTTTAATTTGACTCTCTGTTTGCAGGGTAATCAATGAGCTAATTGGAAATCTTGTTGGACATCTTTATTTCTTCCTGATGTTCAGATACCCAATGGACTTGGGAGGAAGAAATTTTCTATCCACACCTCAGTTTTTGTAAGTGTTTTCTCTCTCCCCATGCTTCCCATACAGTAGTTGTACTACCTTTGTTCTCCTTCATGATACCCCTGAAGGGACCACTGATGACTAGGTTGAGACATCACAGAAAGGGAATCAGCTCTGCTGAGAAGGCTGAGATACCTGACGCTGCTCCTGGGAGTGAAACAGTGGGCAGGGGGTGGGCAGAGGAACAGGATGACAGTGGATCTTTCCTTGGAGAATCAGTTTCATTCATGATTTCCACTGAGGAAGGGGTAAGTTAGTTCTGGTTAGCAATTTTAAACTTTTTTATATTTTACATTACAGAAAGAAAAAGTAGCATTATTGGAAGTTAAAATGAGAGACTTGAAGTCCATGTAGTCGCAATCCCTATGTTCCTTCTTTGCCCTTAGGGTTGGCTAAAAGTGAGGCAGCCAGGGGCAACAGCTCTTTGGGTTTGAATGTCATTCACCTGGTATACTAGTTTTGATATTGAAAAGTTACTTAATAAAACCACCAAACTTCATTTTGTAAGTGGGTAAAGTGAGGGGCTGTCCCTTCTCTCAGGACTGGATGAGGTGAGACGCACTGCTGGGAACACAGCACAGGTACTTAGTAAATAAAAGCCCTGTGCTGGGTTCCTAATGTTGGGGGTGGGGAGGGGTTTGACGAGCCCAGAAGAGACTCTCACACACTTGAGCATGTAAGTAATGTGGCCGTTCTGTCAGTGAAGTAAAAGGCTGTTGAAGCAGGACCAGTTAAATCACCATCTGGGTGTCACAGTCTGCCTGACAATCACGCCTAATCTCATGTCAGGGATATGCAGTAATAGCTTGCATTTAAAAGCTTAAAAAAAACAGCAACAACAACCTTTTGCATCTTGCTCATTTTAGTGTTTTGCAATTCTGTCATTCTTTCAAGGGGTTTGTGGGGGCAGCAAAATGGGAGTAGGTCTCCTCCACCTCCCTTGTACAGGTTAGGAATATGTTTGTAAAAGATTATCGTGAACTGTAGTAAACAGAAACATGTAGTATTGTTGCTATGGGTTTTTTTGGTTGTTTTTATTGTTTTGTTTTTCCTTTAAGAGAATCAAAAGAAACTTCCTTCTCTTCTGAGCCTTGGATTGCCTTCAGGCTAAAAAACAAATGACCAATCTGCTTTCTAATTATCAAAGGATATAATAGCAGCAGGTTTGGTTTTCTGATCTAGGTTTATCAAGTAGAATGGCAGATGCATCAATTAAAAAGCTTGTACTTTGGTGGGCAGCCAGCAGTTTTTTTACTTTAAATGGCCGTACACTGACGTAAGGGCTTATAGATATTTCTTAATAATGGACAACAAAAGTGTACAAGATTCTAAGGACAAAATTGGTAGCACACTGTATCCTGTGTTCCACTTGAGCTTTCTTTCTTGGTGAAAGCCCTTCTGTTAATTTTTGCATAAAGATCAGATGACAAAATGTAGCTCCTTGCAAAAACAGTAACTGCTTTGAAATTACCATAAATTTTTGTTGATTATGTATAATTGGGTGTCTTTTTATACTAATTACTTGCATTTAATTTCACCATCCGCTTAAGCAATGGAGATGGCTTCCATATTGTTTTAGAGTAAGTAGCAAAGCAGGCAGCCCTAGCATTGCCTTTTTCAGGTGTTTATTATGTATATTATTGTATCAGATACAATATTGTATCAGATGTTATAGATGTCCAGAACCCAGCACTTCGGAGTACACTTTGATTTAATGGTAAAACTGTATTTGTTTTACAAGAGTTGAGTTGCTAAGATGATCAGTATTTTGCATTCCATTTAGGAAAGCAGTTATATCTTCTATACATAGTTAATTCTCTGTGTAAAAGGAGTGACCGTGATTTTTTGTGAAGGAGCATGGAGGCAGGGTCATACAACAAATGAGGACCAGAGTCATCTACTGCTGTTAGCAGGAGTCTGCATTTTAGTAAGGAGTGAGTACAGGGCACCAGCTCTGGAGTTGGGCTGCCTGGGTTTGAATCCTGACCGTCATTTTCAAAGAACTTCAGTCTTGCCCCAGTTTTCTCCTTTATAAAGCAAGGCTGATAGTAATGTCCTCCACATAGGGTTGTTGTGAAGACTGGGTGGATTTATAAACATGCAGTCCTTGGTGTAGGGTAACTGCTTCTTGAAGGATAAAGTCACATAGTAGCTGCTGTAGTGTAAGGTTGTACTTGTCACATTTCTTTTGGGAAGTCGCCTGTCAGAGCTTGCTGTGGCTGCCAAGACGGCTTTAAGCACGGTAGCAGTTCATACTCTTTCAAGCAAAATTTAAACGTTAGGATCTGATAAGTAGAATAGGTTTAAACATTCTCAGTTTACTAAAAAGGTAAGAATGGGAAATAATGGGAAAATGCTATTGAGCGTAGGCTTGGGTTTGTTTTCTTAGCTGTTTGGTGACTTCTGATTTGTTAATTTGTAAAGTAAGAAATCATCTAACCTTTCTGGACTTCAGCTTTCCCACTGTCTGGGAGATAGGAAGAAGGTGCTTGAGGGACAGATTATGAGTACAGCCCTAAAGCCTTCTTTACCATTTGGTGGAAATGCTGTGCAGGGCTCAAATGCAGCCCGTGGATTTGTCCTTTGCAGTGAATTAATTTTGTTCTTTGATCCAGTTAGATCCATATTTAGATATACCAAGATGCTATCAGTCATTCTTTCTAGTTGTTGGGCCTGTGGGTGTAATCTTTTTGTTTCCATACTGTTCTGCATGAGTACTTTTATAGTCAGTTAAAAAAGAAATGTTTAGAGTGTGAATTTAACTGAAAGCTTGATAAAGTTAAGAAACATGAAAAGCAAGTGCCATCTGTGGTCAGGGCATTGAGCTAGGTGCTGAAAAAGCAAAGTTAAATAAGGCATTGTCCCTGGCCTCCTTCACCATGACAGATGCCATGGGAACACCCAGGAGAGGGAGATGTGCCGAATGGTGGGGTATTCTGTGGGAGTGACTTTCTTCTCTCCTCTGCCTTTGTTTCCCCCGTTTCTTCAGGTACCGCTGGCTGCCCAGCAGGAGAGGCGGGGTGTCAGGATTCGGTGTGCCCCCTGCTAGCATGAGGCGAGCTGCTGATCAAAATGGTGGAGGTGGTAGACACAACTGGGGCCAGGGCTTTCGACTTGGAGACCAGTGAAGGAGTGGCATCTGGCCTGCCCACCAGCCGTTCCACTCAGGCAACATTTCTTCCCACTGCTGGGTGCGCTTAACAACACCGAGTCTAGCTAACGCTGTTGGACCTGACCCACACTGAATGTAGTCTTTCAGTATGAGACAAATTTTTTTAAATCCTGAAGGAAAATACAAGTGTTCCTCAAGTTTCATGATTCTCATTCAAGTCCTTACTGCTATGAAGAACAAATATCAACTGTGCAAATTTCAAAACTGACTATTTTTTTGGTGTGTTTTCTTCCTTTTCTGTCTGAATAATGGGCTTTAGCGGTTCCCAGTCTGCTGGCACCGAGTTGGGCACCTGGGGTGGGGTTACTAAACCCTGTGAAAAGGATTCTTGTCTCTTTCTTGCACACACACCTCCCTTCTACTTTTCCCAATCCCCTAAAGTTTCAGCTAGTGGGGTTGCCCATAAAATGGTTCTGCCTTTGGCAGACTCTTATTTATTGACTTTGCCAAGGCTTGGTCACAAAGAACTTGTTCACAGTTATTTTCCCCTTTGGTGGCAGAACTGTGACAATAGGGAGAATACTGAAGCAGTGGATAAAAAACTTTCTTAGCTTTGGGGATTGTGCCAACCTGACAGCCACAGCAACCATTAGCCACCTCTTCAGGTGTTCTTAATGAAACACCACGGAGTCAGGATGGGCCCATATTGCTGTTAATGAGGGTTGAGGGTTATAACTAGGTAGTTTTCTAATTAAGTGATCAAAATTTTAGTGGAGTTGCTTCTAACACAGGAGTTCATTTTAAACTATGGTGAACACAATCCTTTTGTGTTTCCTCTGCAGGGCATATTGGCTTTGTGTACCCAGAGTCATTGGATTGTTATATAGGGAGGTTTCAAATCACATTGGCCACAGGGAGATGCTCCCTTTGAGAGGCTCCTGGGCATTGATTCCATTTCATTCTTATTCTGGATGTATGTTCATTGAAGTGCCCTATTAAAATTTTCTTTTTTTTTTTTTTTTCCCTTTTGCCCTTTCTTCATCAAGTGTTTCAGTTAATTGTGAGAAAAGTGCAGCTCTTCTGTATGTAAATCGTTTTTTAAAGCTAATATAAGCACATCTAAGTGAATCACTCATAATTTGAGGTGTAATGGCTTTAGAGTCATTTGCATTTGAAGGTCTTTATTATTTTTTGAGTCTGGAATATACAGTGTGAATCAGACCAACTTGAATACCCACGACGACTCCTTCATAGGTGAGCTTTTTCCATCAGAGCTCGGCTCATCAACAAATAAAGTTTTTGTAGGCTGCAGTGTTTCATAGTTTGTTTTTATTCTGAAAGCAGACAACTAGGAGCATGGTGAGTGGCTGCCATACTTTGAGTCAGCTAAAAAGATTTTGGACATTTTGATCAGCTTCTTTTCAGGAAAAGTACCCTAACAGTATGGCTCCTTCCCCCATCCCCATTCTTATTAAACTGTGATGTGTGTTATAATACGAAATATGAGTTTGCAAAGAGCTCCTCATTTTTAATAAAGTTTGTGTGTACCTTTCCATATTTAATTTATATGATAAAATAGTAGGTGGAGAGAGTCTGCACCTAAACTGTCAAATGTCCTGCTGTTGACCTGTGGCCACAATAAAATTTATTTGTAAAGTTTTAGAAGCCATTACTCCTATTATATCGCTTGGTCACTCACTGCAGAAGTGGAAACTTGTGTGTGTACGATTCTAATGGTAAGTGAACCAGGGGTTCTGTGCCCCCATATCAACCTATTTGCTTGAGAGCAGTAGTTTTTCTAAAGGTCTATAAGTTTTTGGAATTCTTCAGTTGAAGGCATAATGTTCTTTGAATGAAATTTTATCTCAAACATAGGAAGCTGATAATTTGGTCTTTGACGGGATTACCTATCTTTCTGGGATAATTTTACCAAAATAAATTAGTTTTGACTTGGCAAGGTAAGACATGACAGTGGATTCTCTTTATGAATGGAAAACAAAAATCCTTATTTTGTATAGATGGTATCCCTTTTTGTAACTAATCCTTTTTATTGGTATAAATTGTAAATTAAAATGTACAATTTGAAGGTTGTCTGTGTTAAGTTTCCATGTCCCTTTTGTGCTCTTTTAGACATGTAGTTTATGTCAATTTTCCATCAATGAGCATTTAGTTAATATCCAGTTTTTTGTATTAGGGGGACACAGCAGACCCTTTTGTACACGATTTTGTTCGCATGTTGGAGATGCACAATTCCCAGGTTTTCATGAGGATGCTTCTGAATTTTGGGTTAGGAGTTATACCTGATTGTTAAGGTATTTTAGTAGATTTTACACATGGTTCTGAGTCCTGAAGTCTATAGAATTGGTTTAATCCCAGACTCTAGAAAGCAGATTCTATGACATTCTTGAGCCATCCCCCCCCTTTTTTTTTTTGCCTTGGGGGTGAACCATACAAGTCTGTATTCCTGACCTTGGAATAATACATTTATGTGAGGATGGGGTGACAAGAAGCACTGTGCCTCCCTCTTCCATTACTAGGGAAATACCAGAACGATAGGAAGGAAAGATCCTATTTATTTGGAAAGACACGCATTACATTGCCAGGATCATGGGGTTCTGAACTGCCTTTTGAGTAACATCCATCTAATAATAGTTGGTGTTGGAGTGGCCAACATCTTCACTGCCAACTATTTCTGAGCTCCCTTGTTACATTTTTAATGGTAATTTAATGCTTTGAATAGCAAAAGATTAACCTTTGGGAAAAGTTACTCCTTTCTTCCTAGACTTTTAACTGGTCGCATCTATTGAAGGCTGGGCTGAGCATCTGTGTGAACTGGGAATTTTCTTGTTTGCTCTTCAGAGTGGCTCAGGATTGGGATGGGGTGATACCATGTCCTGGGATTCCTTATGTGTGGTTTAAGTCCAGGGTGCTTTTCCACATGTTCCCCTTAGCTCACATCAATTCTGATCTCACGTCTATTCTGTCACCTTCATGTTCAGTACCGAGGTATGCTCCATTGTGAATAATTTAGGCCTGTAATCTGAGGTTTCCCAGTATGGCTACAAGTGAGAATCATATCATGTGGGACTTTGGAAATATTTTGTTATCATTTCTGTTCTACACGTTCTTAAGATTCTCAGTGATTCTGATATTCAGCCAGGTTTGGGAACCAGTGTTTAAGAATGTGAAATAAGTATTAGGTTTCCATTTTCCAGAAAAGGAAATTTAAGATTCAAGAGAGATAAAGTCACTTGATTAGGATTGAGTAGCTAGAAGGTGCCAAGATAGGAGTTGGACCCTAAATTTAGACATTTGCTGCTGCTTTTCAGTTGAGGCCAAAGGAGATTGTTTTAGGACATGTTCTGTTTTTGGGGAGTGTGTGTTCTACTGGCAGATGGCTCGGCCCATAGTGGCTACTTATTTGTTGAGTAAGTGAACACGATTATTATATGATTTGACACGCTGCCAGAGTAGAAATAAGTTAAAACTCGAACAGAGGGGGCTAGATTTTGAAAGATACATGATCATCTCCAGGCTGAGTCAGGGGCAGCTATTGTTTCTAGGTAGAGGAAAGAAGAAACCCGGTAAGAACAAGAAGTTTTGGGAAGAGGGAACTGGCTGGGTATAGAATACAGCTAGGGAGTGGCAGGGAAAGGCTGGACAGGTAGATGGGGGCTTAATCTCAACAAGCCTTTTATGACATCACTTGTACTTCATTTTGTGGGCAATGGGGGGACTATTGGAAAGTAACTGGCTGTAGCAGAGGAAATTGGGGGAGAAGGCTGGGCAAGGAGAAACTGCAGCCAAAGCTAGCAGTTTAGGGTCTGCTGCTGTGGTGCAGGTTTAAGATAAGGTCACCTGAGGCAGTGGTACTACGGCTGGGTTATAGATAGGGACCTCAGAATCGCTGGGACTGAATGAGGAAGAGGAGCCAGGGCTTAGATCAAGGGGTTTCTTTTGTAATACTTGTAATACTTCATCCCTAGAAACAAGACAGGTGGATGCCATTTATGCGCATGGTTGGTGCAACACAGACAATTAGATGCTTGGACCAGTCTGAAAATCTAACCACTATTTGTAAATCACATCTCCAGCCCTTTTTATTTTTTATTTTGAGACAGGGTCTCTCTAAGTTGCTTAGGGCCTTGCTAACTTGCTGAGGCTGGCTTTGAACTTATGATCCTCCTGCCTCAGCCTCCCAAGTCACTGGGATTACAGATCTGCACCCAGCTTGTAAGCATATTTCTGTGGAAAAATACATTATGGACTCCAAAATCACCAACCTTAGGGCAGCTTAATGTTTCACCAAAATTAAGGGCCCAATCTATACCTGTAGGCAAGGTTAAATGTCACCTCTGGTGGCCCACTGGTGCCTCATCTCTGCTTAGTGACACTCATCATTTGCTTAGTCTCCTGTGGTCGGTAGGCATCAGTCAGGATAGACTACGTATTCACAGCTGTATCAAGGCTTAGCACAAGTCATATGCAGGTACTTAAGTCTGTTTTGCAGTGAACTGAGATTTGGGCTGGATCACAAGTTGAATAGGGATTTGAACTGTTCAGGGAGATGGCCTAGTCTCCCAGGAACATTAGGGTTTTGTCACTTGTGTAAGGTAATGATAGTCTCCTGAAACAGGATATTAGAAGAGGTTGGAGATAATGGAAAAATGAATTCAAAATGCTTTAAAAAAAAAAAAAGAAAGAAAAAGCATCCATGTACATTGTATAATTATCTGCTACTAGGTATGAGTACTTGGGGTGTTGGGACAAAAGGGGGCTGGTATAGATTGAAGGCAACAAGAACATTTGGGAAGATTAATTGAAGGTATAAATTTAGCTCTCTGTCCCCTGAGGAATTCCCCATGGCCTGTATAAATGTACATGTATTAAATTCATCATCATGTACATCTACAAGATACTAATTAAAAAAAAAAAACCAAATAACTTTAAGTAAATAGCAGATCAGTAGAGTGGAGGGAAAGGAACCGAAAGAGGAAAGGAGGGAAAAGGAGGGTACTGGGGAGGCATTCGAAAAAATTCCATGATTTTAAAAAAATATTTCTTTTAGTTGTCAATGGACTTTGTTTATATGTGGTGCTGAGCATCAAACCCAGTGTGTCACACATACTAGGCAAGGGCTCTACCACTGAGCTACAACCCCAGCCCTTTTTAAATTATGTCAAAGTGAATCCTAATGTTACGTATAACTAAAAAGAATCAGTAAAAAATAATAAAAGCAACTGTAAATGATGCCACATCATGGGCTGAAAATACCCTTGGGGAGTGCGGAACCGAGTTTGGGTGAATGGCGCAAGGCTCATTTAGGAAATGTTTACCAAGCTTAATTTGTCATTTGAAGCCTTCACCTGACCCAGATGAATCTGATCTCTTTGTCAGTGTGTCAGCCTTTTCCTGAGGGCTGGCACTGGTACAGTGAGTGTCCTTGTTCATGAAGGGCAATTGTGGTTAGCTTAAGGGAGACTTTGGATTTTGATATCTTGATATACAAATAGTAAATGTGTCTCTAGGAGTGGAAGATCCATCAGCCTCCTAGCCGAGCCCTCTTCACCCTATCCCAGACGTTCTTCCTTAGAGGTGGCGCAGACCCCTTAATGGAGAGCGGGACTGGGGCTTTTCATGGTCACATGTATTGGGTAGTGATCTTTGCTCAGAAGAGCTCTGGTTAAATTAAGCAAAAATGGAATTTATTGGAAGGATACAGAATATAGATTAGCTCACTGGTTCCAAGGACCTGCTGAGGAACCTCACATGGAAAAGGGGACCCAGAGAGCAGACTTTGATCTCATCACATCTCTAGCTGAGCTAAAACAGCTCTCCTTTTAATTCTAATACTGTTTTCTTCAACTCCTGAGCCTCATTAACCCAGCTTGGACCTTGTGCTTTTCTTGTGACTAGGAATTCGGAAAAAGCACTGGACTGACGGTACCATTATGACTACCACGACTGGGGCGAGGTTACTTTCCAACAACACATCAAAGTGGTCTTGCCTTACGAAGGAAGAAGCGGATGTTGGATCCTGAAGAGCCTCACCTGGCCAGTTAGGGCATGTCAACTGCATGTTTGGCCTCCTGGAGTAGTCTCTGTTTTGCTAGTTTGTTCCAACCCAGGAATAAGGCAGTATTTCCTCCCATTCCCTCCCTCTAACTCTGAACACTAAGCATTAGCAAGTAATCACATTTTGCTAAGGATTTCAAGGGGGAGAGGGTGGAGGGAGTTGACATTAAACATTTCAGGGTAAGTGCCTGCCTGCACTTGAGCGCAGGTACTATGTCTTGGTTTACCATTACATCCCCAAGTACCTGGCATGTGGTTTGGCATGAGGGGTTTTTGAGATAAATATTTGTTGAAGGAACGTATACATTTCTTAACCTAAATTTCTCTTAGCTATTGTGTTAGCTTTTTGTGCTGTGACAAAACACCTGGAGAAAAGCAATTTAAAGGAGGAAAGATTTATTTGGCTCATGGTTTCAGAGGTTTCAGTCTATGGACAGCCAGCTCCATTGTTTCTGGGCCTGTGGAGAGGCAGAACAACATGGCGGAAGGGTGTGGTGTAGCAAAGCTGCTTCCTATGGTGGCTGGGAAGCAGAGAGAGAGAGAGAGAGAACAACATAAGTCCTTCAAAATCATGCCCCTTTTCCAACTAGTTTCCAACTTCTAAAATTCTCACCACCTCTCATACTCCCAATAGTGCCACCAGGTGGGACCAAGCCTACAACACATGTCTTTGGGGGATATTCCAGATCCAAATGTAACAGCTATTCCCTCTTTTGCTTTCCATCCTTCCCCTATATGACCTTTCCAGGCCTCTCTATATTTTGGTTGACTTAGCTCTGACCCCAAACTTCTGTGTTCAGCAAAACAAAAGCCTTATAGATAGATCCACCCTCCTCAGAAAGGCTTATCGAAGTTACTACATATAAAACAGAGTAGGTCAGGGAAGAAGTGAATTTGCTAAAAATCTTAAGATTCTTTTCTTTTCTTTCTTTCTGATTGAACCCAGAGGCATTTAACCACTGAGCCACATCCCCAGCCACCCCACCACCACTCTTTTTTTTAAGATTTTGA